TCGGTCGAGAGATTCTGCGATTTTGCACGATTTTAGCCCCTGCTCGACGTCTTTCCCTCAAAATGATGAGAGATTCTGGAATAAAAGTTATAAACCTCGCGAAGTTAACCAAATTATCCCAGAGTCTCTCATATATATACTACTTATAACGATTATATATTTACATACTGAATAAAAGGGGTGAGAACAATCGTTCTCTCGATCACGGTCGTTTTCTTTTGAATTTTAAGTGAATTAGAATCGATAAGCCTGGCTACTCCATTGTCTACACGGGTTAGAGTCAGGCTGAGGATTAACTGTGGGCGTAATTTCGGTATCGGCAACCTCTTCTTGAACAGTAACCTTTTTAACCTCTTGGAGGGGAATATCTTCTATTTCTACTGTATGTTTTCTACGCGATGATCTAACACGTCTTTTCCGAAGGAAACGACGAAAAATGAACATACCGCTGATACTAATAATAGCTGTACCTACACAACTAATAATTGAAGGTAGGTAAGGTATTTGCTGTTGTATGCAGGAAGCGATTCAAGTCATACGTCGCTTCTTCGCTAGCTCTGTCGGCCAATTTAATATCTAAGTCCGATTGAATTTTCAATTCTTCTTGAGTTTGGGGGTCTTGTAATCGCATTTGGAGAATTCTCAGCTCTGTTTCGTTCAGGATGTGTTCGATAGGTGGTATTACCAATCGTTGAGCTATCTCAGTCTGTATCTTAGATCGCATATGAAAATGGGAGGTGAGGATGATGCCTGGCAGATATCCTACACATGCATTTGGTAACTTTATAATCCTCGTATTATTTAATTTCTGAGTTGTAGAGAGGGATGAGGATGATCTCCGCTGTCGGGAAGAACATTTGATAGTTAATAGGAGTGGTGTAGGGGTAGAATATACCCACATTCCCTGTTTATCCACTCTTTTAAAAATCGGAGCATAACTCAAGACAATCTGTCTGGAGCAAAGTTCTTTGACCTTCGGCTCATTGCCGGTGTATAATGAGTATTCACAACTATATTGTGGAGCCCTTCTTATTGGTACGTCTACTGAACATATAGAAAACTGGGCTGTTTTACAAATGGTCAGTTCGTGTTGTTGTAATAACATGAATGATTGTCTATCCATAGACAAAGCTATGATAGGATACCTGGTTTGGAAATAGGCATATGCTTTCAACGAAGGTATATACGTCGGAAATTTTACAATCTCGTACATGTCGAAGTATCCACTCGGTGTTCTCAAAGGTATTTTTGCAAAAATTCTCAACTTTCCGGGTAGAGCTACAGCAATGGTAGTGATCCATTGGTAGTATTTAAAAAGTGTGTCTGCGTTGATCGGTTCGATCATTGCATATCCTTCCGGAAGTTGTAATTGTATTTCTCGGAGCGTGTGTAACATCACCGCCCGGGTTATAAAATAAGAACTTAATCTCCCTTGTTATAATATATCTATGGCTTCTCGAATTTCTGCTAGTTGCAGATGGAATTCTTGAATAGAGAATTCTATCGTTCTAATTACTACTTCGAATGCTAAATTATACCTGTATATCCGTATTAATTCATCAAAAGATTTCTGTCTTCGCACTAGTACGTTTATCTGTTGCCTATTTGCCTTACTAATCCTAAAAGTATCGTTCAGCAATGTTGCTTGTAATCGAAGCAGATGAACAACGCCTTCCTTAACTAGTTTTAATTGGGTGATTTCGGCGTTCGAATTTTCTATATCCTCTGTGGTAGCAGTACCAAAGAGAACCTTTAGAGCTTTACCTCCAAAATCTATTAGTCCTCTCTTCTTTTTATTTGTTGCATTAATAGTTACTAGAGCTTTTAGTTCACTATATTCCTCTTTGTAGCTGTAAAAGGATGATTTTAACATTTCGAACCCGTTGGTAGGTAAAATCCATCTTGATTTATCCTTTTCTCTTATGTTAATTTGCTGCTCCCGTTGTAGAATCATACTCTCTAAATATGAAAGAGAATGGTTCAACAAACGTATGTGACGTTCGAAGTGTTCGAAGTTGACATCATTGACCAAAGTCCAATGACTGGACGTCATTAAAAAGTTGCCTTGGTGAATGAAAACAGTATCTTTTTTAAATTCGAACCTTTCGTCGGGAGGTTTCAGTAGATTAAGGCCGAATAGATGAAATAAAAAGATGATCTTTGTACATATTGATCTCAGCATTACCGTGTTTAAAAATTTTTATTTTTATTTTTATTTATTTATTTATTTTCTTCCAACGACGAAGTGGTCTGAAAAATTAGCTTAAATTAGAATTGGGTACAAGTGGAAAGAAGTTTAATACATTAAAAGTTTAAGGGGAAGACGGACGGCTTGTGGTGGGAGTAATACGTCTCGGATTACGATTCCGATTTGGTCGGGGCATTACCCACGGTTGGTCCGGGATATGACCTTGGCTCCTAAGTGCGTATTGAGGTGCTACTTCCGATGCATTGCCCTCCTCAGCGCTTTCGTCGGCCGTATCTGGGTCAAACTCCCTTTCGTCCTCTCTTTCCTGTTCCGTCTGTTCTTCCGGTAGAGGAGTAGGGATGGAGTTTAAAATAAATTCGTTTCAAGGGTTAACCTGGGTTGTTTCCTCATCTGTTGTTGCGGTTATTCCGTCTTTTATTAAATTGTCCATTGAGTCGACGGTTATTTCGTCGCTAATTTTAACTCCTCTCTGGCGATAGACGGTTTTAATCGGTCCGCATGCACTCGTAACTTTCTTTTGGTCTTTAGATCTTCAATCTGGAAATTGATAGGACTGAATACTTCTATTATTCGGTATGGACCTGTCCATCTCGGTGCTAACTTTCTTTTTATTCCTTGTGGTACTACAACTTCTTTTAATAAAACTCTATCCCCTAATCTATAGTGTGGTGGCTTATTTTGTTTTCGCTGTCTTTCTTGCCTTTCTTTCGCCGCTTGTTCGGCACAATCTTGGGCCGTTTGGTGAGCGTTCATCATTCTCTGTCGCAATTCTGATGCATAGTTATCCTCTACATCGTAAGAGATCGAGGCGGGACTGGAAACCATTTGAAAGGGATAAGAGGGGTCTCTTCCGTATAAGAGATAGAACGGACTTTCGTTAGTAGATGCGTGTGTCGCAGTATTATATGCAAACAGGGCATAAGGAATCCACTCATCCCAGTCTCTTTGATCTTTAGCCACATAATGAGACAAGATATCGATAAGAGTTCTATTGAATCTTTCGACGACTCCGTTACATGCCGGGTGATAAGCGGTTGTAAGTAATCTTTTGATTTGAAGGAAGTCACACACTTCTTTGAACATTTTGGAAACTAAATTTGGTCCTCTGTCAGTGAATAGCTGTGTTGGTGTCGAATGTCTTATTATAATATTCGTAACAAAGGCTTTTGCAATCGTTTTACTGCTAATTTCTGGCAATGGAATTGCTTCTGCATATCGACTAAAGTGGTCGACAAAAACTAAAATATATTTATTTCCATTTGTTGTAGTGGGTAAAGGTTCTACGATATCCATCGCTGTTCGTTCAAATAAATAAGTCAAGGGTGAAAACAACTGCAACTCTGCTTTCGTTTTTCGACCTTGTCTTCGGTGTTTTGCACAACTCTGACAACTTTGACAATAACTCTTTATATCCTTTTTCATTTCTGGCCAATAAATCAGTTTTTCTATTTTGCTTTGCATCTTCATCTATCTTAAGTGTCCGGCAATTGGATTGTTGTGAAAAATATACATAATGTATTCCTTCAGACTAGCAGGTACAACTATTTGTTCCCACATATTTGTTCGTTGTCTATTTACTCCTTTATGACACAAAACGTCTTCTTCGTTTAAATAAAATTCGTCCAGTTCTAAATTGTTATATTTTCCTGAGGTGTTTCCATCCTTTATTGCTTGGATAAGAGATTTCCATCGCACATCTCGTTGTTGTAGTTTACCTATTTGCACCGTCGTAAAAATTGGTTCTACTTCGTTTATTTGTCTAATTGGAATGCGACTTAATGCGTCTGCGTTGAGATGCGCGTTTCCAGCTTTATGAATGACCTCGAAATCGAACTCTTGGAGAAAGATAATCCATCTAGCCAATCTAGAGTTTGTAGTTGAGTCCTTACTATTAATTAACCATCTGAGTGGTCGATGATCTGTAATTATAGTAAATTTTCGGCCATACAAATAAGGCTTAAAGTATCGTACAGCCCATACTGTAGCTAGACATTCTTTTTCTGTCGTGCTATAATTTAATTCGGGTTTTCTTAATAAACGACTTGCGTAAGCGATCGGTTTCTCTCTTCCGTTTTCCTCTTGTGATAACACTGCCCCTAGAGCTGAATTCGATGCATCAGTTGCCAATATATACGGTTTCGAAAAGTCTGGTGATTTTAATAGAGGAGCAGAAGTAATAATTCTTTTTAATTCATCGAAACTTTCTTGTTGCTGCTGACCCCATTCAAAGATTGAATCCCTTTTTAGCAGATCTGTGAGAGGCTTAGCAATTTTTGCATATGAGTCTACGTGTCTCCTATAGTAACCTGTCAGTCCTAAGAAAGCTCTGATCTCTCGATCATATATAGGTTTGGGGAAGTCTAGAACGCATTGGATTTTGTCGGGATCGGGTTTTATGCCTTCCGCAGATATTTCGTGGCCTAAAAATTTTATTTTGTGTTGTAAAAAGTGACATTTTTTTGGTTTTAACTTAATACCTGCAGTAGCTAGTCGCTTAAAGACTTGTTCTAAGCGTTGGAGGTGACTGGGAAAGTCTGGACTAAACGTTAGAATATCATCCATGTAAACTAGGCATGTTTTACCTTTAAGTCCATGTAAAACGAAGTCCATCGTTCTCGCAAAAACCGCAGCTGAGGTACAAAGACCCATAGGCATTCTATTCCACTGATAATGTCCATCAGGGGTAGAAAAGGCAGTCTTCTCTTTATCACCTACGCTTAATTGCCAGTAACCCGAAAGTGTATCCATGGTGGAGAAATATTTCGCTTCTCCCATTAAACTAAGAGACTCCTGCACTAAAGGAAGTGGATATGGATCGACCTTAGTTATCTTATTTAACTTCCTATAGTCCACCACGAGTCTTTGGCCTCCGCATTTCTTCTTTACTAGCAAAGCAGCCGAACTCCAAGGGGAAGTCGAGTGTTCTATGATGTTGTGTTCTAACAATTTATCAATTATCTCATTCAGCTGCTGCCTCTGCGCATAAGGGATTCTATACGGTGGGGAGTATATGGGCGCTGCATCACCAGTGTTAATTTCATGTTGCACTATATTGCAATACCCTAAATCGTAATCATTAAGCCCTAAATCGTAATCATTAAGCGCAAAAACATGTCTATACTTATATAATAACGTCTCCAGTGCTTTCTTTTCGTTTGTATTAATTCCTGTCCAATCGAAGAGTTGACTAAACTCCTTTTTGGATAATTCAGCTGTCACTCCTTTCTTAATATTTTTAGGAGGTGTGTCTTCTTCGATAGCTTCTAAAAATGCACCTACTTTTGTGCCCTTATTTAATTTGACTGTCTTATGAGTAGTGTTACAGAGTCTGACGGGAACTTGTCCCTTTTTATTGGGAGAAACTAAAAGATCGACTCTCGAAACTCCTTCTTGTTCTAATGGAACAGTTTCTATTACTCCTATCCTAATATTTCTATTAGCTCCCGCAATTTTGGCAGTAACTATACTTTCAGCCCTGGGAGGTAATCTATATGTTTCTATTAAAATAAATTCGCATTCTTCTTTCATCTTATCTGACCGTAATTTTGATCGCTTTTTGTTTTGGATGTCATTATTGAGAGGGGAAACTGCCTCTGTGGGTTGACCTACTTCTGATCTGTTTCTCTTTCGGCTGTTTTGTTTTGCCGTGTGTATCCTCCCTTCCGGGGAAATTAATTCATTCTCGCTGTTGCTTGTAAACCTATCTTTATCAAGGAAAGGTACTGTAGTTTGAAAGGGTATAGTCATCATCCCATTTCGAAAGTCAAGGAGACATCCCTTTTTTAAGATCATGTCCCTGCTGATTATGCCGTCACATGGGTATGTGACGTCTGCATCCACGAGACAACATGCAAATGGAAATCGTAAGTCCCCGATCTGGAAAATAGGATTCATAATACCGTACGTTTTTATACGATGTCCGGTTGCGCTTCGTAAATCCGTATACTTATTATAATTAATATCGACTTCTTCCCTTATTTTCTCCGCAAATGTTTTAGATATAAGTGACACCTTTGCTCCTGTGTCTACTTGTATGGTGGCGGGAATCCCCTCTATGTAACACGAAAACGTCGCTTCACTATGCATCGGCATATTTTTGTTTACTCCTATAGGTGAATATAGCAGTTTTCGGCACCGTTGGACTTTGTTTGTTTCTCAATAAAATTTGGGATATGGTCTGAGTTTCTATTTCTTTGTATAATAAGGGCGAGTATAGTTTTTTCGATGTTTATATCGAATTCGTCGACCCTCTACGCTCGTAACATTACCTTTCCATCGGTTTCGGCTTTCTTCTGGTTCTGGACGACTAAAACTAACTCTATTTTCATCTATTTCTCTTTTTCGCTTGTTTGGGAAGTTATGTTTCGGTTGAGACGGCCGTTCGCTTCTGTCAGTCCTCTGTCGTGGAGGAAAATTCTGACTTCGATTGAGCGGAGCAGATGGCCTATTTGCTTGACGACCGGGTGATGTCGGACGTCGTTCGCTTTGCCAGAAATTTGCGTTTGGTTCGAAATCCCGTCTATTGCGCTCATAGCTATGTTTATTTCTGTTATTTAAAGCTAGATTTTTCGTTATTCTGTCCATTCGTACCTTAAGTTCATTGATTGCGGTAGTTTATTTTTCCCAGTTATTGCGAGACTCCGTTGGTGGATCAGAAACCTCCTTAACTGTACGCATGACCCCGCGTGGGTGGGCTGTAACCTTTTCTATCATATCCTCACTGATTGCCGCTTGTAACGCTTCATCGAACGAGGTTGGTTCACGCAACATGGTTTTTTATCTTATTTTTACTTCTAGTTTATATAAGAATTGGGCTTTCAACCTCTCATCAAGTTCTCGGTCTTGAACTCTCCGAATTATGGCTGTTTCGGTTGCATTGGCACCTACCTGTTCAATTTCGATTTCTGTGGCTAGTGATTGTAATCGCATCGCGTACGTCTGTACATCTTCGTCCCATTTCTGTACACATGCATAAAATTTATTAAGTCTAAGTGTATAAGGGATCTGTCCAAACCTCTTAATCATTATTTTTTAGAACGTATCATAATCTCCTACATCTTTTATCTGTCTGCCTTTCCGCACGAATTCCTGCGCTAAACCTGCGAGTTTTAATTTAGCGATCGCCAGCATTTGAGCTTTTGACCAACCCGCTATCTTTGTTATATCTGTGAGCGATTCGAAAAAATCCGTTATTCGGGTACCATCTGGATCACCCGTAAATACCGGCAGCAGTGGAATCATTCCGCCAATGCCTCCTAAGGCCAATGGGTTACCCGCCGAAGTCGCACCAGGGGTTTCGTTTTCCATTCCGCCTAATTTCTTATTCTATTTGTGAAGACTCGTACTATAGCCTTTTAGCCTTGTCGGATAATAACCCCACTCCTGACACCAATATGTGAGAATCGGGGTTTTAGCATCAAAGCTTAAACCGTTTTCCGACAACGGGAAGGTGAGTCCTGCTCACAGGGTCAGTGGATGGCAATTTAGGAGGGCGAAAATCGAGTGGGAGGTCGCGGATAAGTGGACAAGGTGTTGACCGAGTACGAGTAAACACACATATTTAAGATAACATATATATATATATATATTTAATTAACTAATGATATATATGAAAAGGTTACAATAATTAATAATACTGCTAATCTCTAACCGAAGTTACAATAGGCGGTTTTTCGGTATACATCTCTATATTTACGATAAAGGATATTCTTTGGTCCTTCTTAAAATCTTTTTAGGAATTAGCTTTAGTCCACTCGAGAGAAGGGAGAGAGTTCTACTTACTAAGTTGTAGCTTGTAGAATCTAACCGTGTTGTCCGTCTTTGGCGGTCAGCGATGAGGATCGTCAATCGGTTATTTCCTTCTAAGTTGGAGGCCACCTCGATACTGGCCGGGAGCCTTCTTTATACCCATTTCGAGGGGGTGAGAACTATGACGTTATTAATGATTTAGCCGCACACCTGCTAGTGTGTTGATATTTGGATCTAGCTAGTTCGGACAATTGACATAGAGAAATTTGTTCAATTTATTGATATTGGTGTCAAGATGATATGATTTTATGATATAAATTTCTATAGGTTTGATGGCTCTCATCCATAAATTAACAATCATTTGACAATAATTTCTTTAACCTGGTCAACTATCTAGTTATTGTTTATATCAAACGTCGTGTTTGACTATGAACAAGGCGATTTATTGCCGTAACCACGTGTTACGTGCAACCAACAGGTGATAAGAAATATCTCTTATTCCCTTCTTGTTGATACTAACGTCTATAGAATAACCGTTAAACAAATAGAGATGATTTCTCTTATTGATATTTTAACATTCTCTGTTTTTTTCTTATTCGAGGAGAGCGTCTCGGTCATTGACCGTAGAAGTCCTCCTTTTCTCTTTTACTAGGAAAATTCCTAGATTTATACTGATCTAAAACAGAAAAAAGTTTTCGGACCTTCACATTATTCTTCACTCGGCAAGAGTCTGTATCAGCTGAAGTATCTTCCAACAATCGTAAAATCAGGCAATATTACATAAATGAAACTACGATAACATCTTCAACTGATACATTTTTTCAACTATTCTTTAATGTAAAATATTTCTGATTTTACAAAAATATGTTTTTTGTATTCATTTTGAAATATTCAGTAAGTAATTGGTAATTACTGATAAACGTTAAACGTCATTAGTACAGATTTATTATAATTATTTAACAAAATCTTTTTATACGATTATTGGTATTTTATGGCTGATTATTTTTATTTGTAGGTCACTTTAAACTGACAAATTATACATCATTAAATGACTTTAAAATATCACAAGTTATTCACGTATCAATGCAAATATAAAATCTATATAAATATAAAGCCAAATCAAGTAACTAAATTTATATATGTGATAGTGTGACTTTCGTTCCTAGAATATTAATAAACAGAACAGAGAAAATGGGGAATTATATTTCAAAATTAATCAGCAATTTTAGAAAAATTGAAGTTTTCAGCAGGAAAAACAGTTCAAATTTCATTTGGACACGATCGGATCGTTGTGTATATTATAATTTCTATGCTACATTTTCTGTATGTAAAGTCTTTGGCATCGAACCGTTCGAAAAATGCTGTTGTTTCAATGATAGAATTTATGGAATGTCACAAAATACAATGAGTACATTTTATAGTTATTACGTGAATATACTTCAATGTTTCTTATGGTTATCCTCGCTTTCATTATTTCTGATGATTTTCAACGAGAATTATATTTGCCATCGATGTTTTCATCTGTACAAAAAATATGGAATAGAAATGAATGTCGTGCTTTTAATTCTAAATATCTACGTTGCAATTCAATTTACAATTCTGAAGAGAAACAAAGTTTTTGGCCATTTCATAAAAAGCACTTACCTTAGCGAAAAACAGTTGCCAGTTCAATTGGAAGTGCCTCTATTAGGGTATTTGTTTTGCGTATTCGTCATCGCTTTATTTGTTTCGAATGCAGCAGCGATAAATGTGTTTCCAACAGTCAAGAAATATGCTGGAAGTGAATACGAAGCAACTTTTTGTTCGATTTATTTTTCGTTACTGTTTCTGCAATTAACAGGACAGATATGTTCAGTTCTTTTCGTATTTTCAATTTGTGGAATAATCATAGCGAAAAGGCTTATGAAGTTGTCTGAAGAACTACAACAAATAAACACAACTTCTCTATTACTGAAGAATGAACTACAAGGAATCTGCGAGAAGCACACAGAGATTTGGGAGATTTTTCAAATGATCAACAAGAAATGGAGAGAACTTTCTGCTTTGATATATGCCCACTTTACATACGAGACATGTTTTTTGTGTTACGCTGCCTTGTTCTTTGATTTCAACCTTCAATCTCGAGTCTTTTTTAGTGGAATTTCGTTGATATTCTTAACTGGAAGTCTTTTGGTTTCTTGGTCTCTTTCTTATTTGACTTCTTTGGTAATTATATTTTATTTTTCTTATTATATTTATTAGCTATGTGAATAATGTTACAATGTCTATGTTATATCGATAATTTTCTACGTAGATATCATTTTATAACACATAGCTAATATAAAAAGTATTAAAAGTAATATTAAAAGTAAGTGATATTCTGTAGCTATATTATTTAATCAGTCTTTAATTATTCAATTAAATTACTTCAAAAATATTTCTTTTTGCGGTAAGAAATCATGAAATTACCTGACAGAATTTCATATGATAAGCAGGAAAGTGTAAAATTAAGTTAAAATAAAAGTTTTATTAAGTTGATTTTGCTTCGTTTTAATAAGCGAAAAAAAAAATCTAAAGTATTCTGTAAATAAAATTTTGTTCGTGTAATTAACTATAATTAAAACCGCACATTTAAAAACTACACTTAACATTAACAATAAATAATTAATAACAAAGTTATTTTATTTTCAGCTCTATGATAACTTCATTTCTATACAGAGATTTTCATCAAACAACTTGTCAATTTTATTCAAGTTTAAGGTATAGTATTAGGAAGTAATAGTATAATATGCAAGTAGTTTATAATATAGAAATGAATGAAAATTTGACACACGTGCGGAGCGAGTGGGCAAATTTCCACGAATGGGATAATCACTAATTATAAACGAATTGTTATACGGTAGTTTGTAGTTAGACTACTCCTATAATACTATACTGTACTTATAAAAATAAAAATTATGTATAAACACATTGTCTGTGCAACAATTGATACATATAGTTCCCATGCTATAAAATGTTTACCTCACTGCTTTATGGCACGGATGCCATAAACACTGTGTTTATACATGAGTTTGTGTTCTATAAATACAGTGTTAGAGGTGTAGTCTACCATAAGTTTTTTTAAAATCTAATTATTTACGTCGATTATGTAATTATTTTTTTAAACATTCTAAGGTTACTTGCTTCATGAAAAGGTTCAAAAGAGCTAAAATGGGAATTTCTATTAATGATTTCTTCTACGTCCAGAAAAATTTCTTGATTCGGGTAAGTTTATATATAGATATACTGTATGACCTTTAAACAATCAGCACTTTTTAAGCATTGTTCTTATTTACAGGTAGTGAGTGCGTTATACTCCATTTTCTCTTCGGTGTTGCAAGTGACAGGAGTGATGAACAAGCATAAATCATGTATCAAAACGTCTACATTCAGTAATTTCACAGTCAATAAGTTTAATTCTACTTTAGAATAAATCAACAACTTTAAACGCTTGAAATTTCTATTCCTGTTAGTGCTAAGAACATATCTTTTTGTAAATGCAGGTTCGGTATACACCTGTAGTAAACATAAATATATATATAATTACGTAATTATAATTATATATATAAATATATATAAACACGTAAAATATAGTGAAACAACATCGTACGTATACTTACAAAAAACAAAAATAATATTATAAATATTCAGATTTTACGACTATGTTAATGCTTAATAATTAACATCATTTCTCATTTGTTTGTAGTAGTAACTCTACTCAATTAAGCAAACCTTTATTATTGTGTTTCTATAGTAATTTGGCTGCAATTTTCAAATCGAATGCTTTAACTGATAGCCATTTAAAATTGCATACCATTACAGTGTCACTGTTGTCCATCTGCCCTTGAATTTCGAAAATGATAAATACATGAAAAACCAAATTATATATAGTAAAACATCGATCTACAGGCTATCAGTCACTATATGCCAGAAGCCAGGCAAGATTCACTTTTAACTAGATACGCACTTCTAGTCTGTACTGGAAGTCACGCGATTTTTAAACACTGCAATCAAAGGATTTTTATATATCGCAGCCTGCTATTTTGAATATGTAACAAGAAATAAATGCACATTATATCTAAGTGTTTTATTGATGCAATTATGTGAAATTCTGTCAAAATATTGCATTATATCTTGGTAACATGATACACTAAAAGATATATTTATGCACAAATAACAGTAAGTTATAAAATTGTTTCATAAGTTTATTTTGAAATATTCATTATAAAAAATTTTACACTTAAAATTCAAATTTGTAACCTTGTTATCTTTACATGGTACATGGTATAAGATGACAATATTAAGTAATAAAATGTTTACTTAATACAGTAAAGCCTCGAAAACTCGGCCTAATGTGGACCGAAGGGTGGCCGAGTTTTTGAAAATGCCGGGTTATCGGGAATGGGGTTAAAAAAGGATAAATATGCGTGTTTCCTCAGAAAATATTGTACTGTACTTGTATGTGTTGTTTGCTTGAGAATACAACAGAGAATAAACTGCCCAAATACCCTTAAACAAAGGAAAAGTACTGTACGTCCTTTATGAAGGCATAGAGCCTTTACTACATGAAAATGAAAATTAATGAATACATAGTGTACAGTAATTTACCTGATAAGACACCTCAGAAAAATACTTTGTGATGCATAAAGCTGTCTATGACGAAAATTAATTATCTAAGGGTATTTTTGCCCTGCCAGGGTGTGGCCGAATTTTCGAGGCTCTACTGTATAACCAAGAGGCCACAGATTAATTACATATATGGAAGATTGTAGCTAATACAATGTTGTAAGTGTTGTTAAAATAATATATGAAATGATTTTAAACTAATTAGCTTAATTCAAATTTTCTAAAATTTTGTTGATATGTTAGAATTGTTCTAAATGTAACCATCAAACGAATTTAATTAATGAAACTGTAATTGTAAAATCTTAGTATTCAACTATTTTGATGTGCCAGTGCTGAGATAGTTATTTTAATTTGCTAATAGAAATAAATATTGTGTATGTTTATAATACAAAAAAATGTAATGTAGTTAACATTGGATATGATTGTAAACGTCTAAAGCCAAAAATTTTTTGTTTCTGTAACATTAATTTGCGTTTCACAGCCATTTTAATATATTTAAGAATGTCTTTTAATGTCTAGGAATTGTTCACTGTAAATTTCATCAAATTTACTCACATATTTCATAATATCATGGACTTGATTCTATTTGTATTGGATAAATACTGCGATCAAATATTTAACAGTTTCACATAATATGAGTTCAAGTAATTGAAATAATTTTGATTTGTATGATGTAATACAATAACTTTCGATTTTCAAGAGAGCCAATCAGTGAGAAATACTTTGATTGATACAATCTGAGATTATTTTAAGTTCTTTCAGCAGATGGGTCTGTGAGAGACTGATATACAAACAACCCTTGGATGTGTGCAGTTTACACACAATAGCCATATGTTATGAGTTTAGAGGTTTCAAGTATAGAAAAATTACTGGTGCCACTTTGATGACTTTATTCGTGGATTGGATTCTCACATTTCGTGATCTGAACATTGTACTTAAATCACCTATTATCTACTACTCCACTGACTAAAGTCAAATATCTGATCAAATATAAGTTTTGTGAACGATTTATGAATTACACAGTTGCTCTTTGCCTGCAACATATGAATATGAGTATTTCAAGAGCAAATCTACATAAATACATAACTTAATTTAAGAAGGACAAATGCTACAATTTGTTCAATGGACTGTCCACTCTACACAGAATATTTTGCGAAGACTAGTACTGTCTATAAAGGTTTCACCATATTTATTGTTCAAGTGAGCATCGCTACTGAACGTTTGATGTTTCTACGAGTTTCCTGGTTTCACAAATGCATTATTTATGTGTTAGAAGTTTGTGACTTTTCGGTCGGCACCACCTTGGTGCCCTGTCAGGAATGACACCACCGTGTTTCTGGAAACACGGAAACCGAGACGACGATTACGTCACGCCGTCGAGCGAGCGGTCCCGTACGTGGTCAGACGGATTCGTAATGTCGATTCGAGAGACAACATTGGAAGTGACTCCGATACACTTAACAATTAACAAGGGTTTATTTAAAAATCTATTGGATAAAGTGTTGTCGTAGAGAGTTCACATACGATTCGCGGGGTGATAAATACCTTTGGTAATGGATCCCGGTCGGGTCTTGTTGAATCGGAGAACAAGATCTTCTTATGGGTTTTTTCAGGATGTATCCAGTTCTGATGGGTATTGTGAATACGGGGGCGTAAGGCTCCCGTTCAATGGTCAGGATGATATGTCAGGCGAGTGTAAGGAGAGTTGATTGGAGTCGACGATAAGGTGAAGGGCGAGATCGAGTAAAAGAGTCTACCATTTTTTTAACAAATATAAAATAACAATTTATTAAGAATAGGCAAAATGACAAAAGACTACACGAAGCTCGTTTCTATACCGACCTAAAGTTTCTATACCGACAGAGAGTTTCTATACGACAGAGAGAGTTTCACCGTGCTTTCATACCTCTGTATAGCCGTCCCCTTTGACGATTCTGAACGATCCAAGGGTTATAATCCAGTTTCGGCACAAATCATATATCGCGACTTTAGCGATGATTTAATTCGAGGTTCATCGGAGATCGGAATTCCGCAGGTTCGGAAGATCGGCGCGATGTCGTCTATCCAGCGTTTGTTCGTAGACTCCCCCGAGAGGGGGTAAGAACGGCCTTTTATCCGTTTTAGTGGGGAATTTCCACCACGTGATCGGATGTACATAAGTTAAAGGTTATAGGTGTTCCAGGGATCTATAACAAATGACGACATTTAGATGCTAACTATCAACCTTTTTGCAAGATGAGATGCAAGTTCTGCAGAGAACAATGGATGTTGCCAGTTAAGACCGGAAAGTTTACACAATTCCGGCTAAAAATCGTTTTTTCTTCTAGGGCGTTACATAACAAAAGTTTAATTAATTAACAATTTTGTTAATAAAAGAGCGATAATTCCGTCACCAAGATTCCGGATTTCACAGTATTTTTAGTTATCCAGGCGATCGTGCACTAACACACACACACACAGAAAAGTTTATCCTATGGGCGACGATTAATTCGGTGACGATTTGATGGATGATGATTGCAGGGAGGACGACTTCTTTCCTTTCCGAGGACTAAAACGGCGACTAACTCTTTTCGGCCGTCTCTGATGATATTCACGAACGATTTCGGCCGTGCAGAAGTTAATAGTTCACGAGAAAGCGTCATGTTGCTTTCGAGAAAATGTAACGGGAGACTTTCTCAGGTAGCTAAGAACAACAATCGTTGCGTAATTCGCAAAATGTTATTATTAAAGACTATTTCTAATATAAGAATTTCTGCTATCTTACAAGTTGTTGGCAGATCTGTATTTTATGTCAGGCTCATGAAGCAATTGAATCAATATGTCAAAAAAAAACCAAAAAGCAGTAACGTATCAATTTGTTTACTTGAAATGTTTTAGTCCAGTTTTAGTTCTGTTCTGAATATTTTGTAACTAGACAGAGTTATGTTATCATTCATAATGACTAAGTTAATCCTTTATAATTGAACACTTCAATAACGACTGACTATTACTAGACACGTATAAACTACGTGATCAATTTGCAATTGTTAGGAAATGCCTGCAAAAAATCGCATCTGTCGTTAAAATTAGGTTTGCTAATTAACAAACTATGAATCTCCACTTACATCTCTAGGACATGACAGAAACAACACTAAGCAGCTGTAATGATGTTCCATCAATGTTGCATAATTTTTGCATGCCTTTAAGGCTTTTTAATCGGCTATTTTTCTATGTTTACCAGACTCTTGTAGATCTAATGACTCATTGTATACTACGTTCAGAAGAAAACATACAGATATCTGTTCACTATCTCATAAGTGTTGCACTGCTATGTACGAATACATATATAAAAAAAAATATAAAAGTATATAAATAAAAGACTGCAGCTTTATAATGCATAAAGAAGATATGAAATGGAATCACTTAAATTAAAAATCGAAATATTTGCAAAGTAAGAATCCAAGGAACCAAATAAATTATTAAGAAAAAAGTGATGAAACCAATCATAAATAGGAATAAAGCCGACATAACAATATATAGACTGCTTAACATGTCAGAAATAATTATAAAAAAATCTATTATCTTTCTTAAAACAATTGTGAATTTTACTAGCAAATCACTTTTTTTTCGCGATGCAAAACCGTTTCACTAAACTTCATAACATAAAACGCGAAACAATCAATAGAATCATTACTCTTCCTAAATGATATCCAGGCTCTATTCCTAGCGCTAATTAACATCCTATAGTCCGAATCGAACCATGAAAAAGAATTCTTGTGTCTCCTGATATTAGAGAGGTTGTGGCCGAAGTTTTCATCTCTAAAACGTGAACTTCGAACTTCGAGCGCCGCTCGAAGTTTTACGTTCACGTTTTAGAGATGAAAACTTCGGCCACAACCTCGCTATTAAAACCCCACTTACAAGCCAAACTAAAAAAGACAATTATTGAGGACTTCCATTGAATCAAACTTATTCGAATGACATATTTCCTCCACAGCCAATCTTACTTAATTCATCAGTAGTAGTGGTTTGGACCATACTGATCACAAAATTAATTTTTTAATTACAAATTTGAATTAAATTAATATTAAACCTTGGTTGCTTGTTGTTCTCTATTATATGTATTTTCTTAGCACAATGCTGCTGTTAAGAACTTATCACACAGGAACACTTTCAGAGGAAAAAATATTATTAAAAGGAAATTCTACGAACATTGAAATTGTGAGATAAACCGAGGGTCAGGGATCAATCTCCCACTGACCACTTACTCGGCAATAGGTTGATAAATCCCGATCTCGGTGTCGTTGGATGGCTAGGAGGGCAGTTCGAGTGGGGAGGGAGGTGAGCAAGTTGATAGGCGTCCTTAAATGACAGGAAACAGGTTTAAAACTAAACAAGCATTTATTATATACTCAACTAAGCATTACAAAAGGTTAAAAGCGGTTATCTCTACTATTTACATAAATTCGACCACGAATTTTCGAGTTCGAGAGAGAGCGCTTACAAATCCTATATACTCAAAATACCTGTCGGTGGCAGGGCGAATTGGCGAACGTTCAGGGTGTGGTGTCTTCCGTGTCTTCTATTCGAGGTCCTCTCTTATTAGCTGGATCGGGTCCGCTGAATGGAGGCTCGGGAGTTTCGGTGACACTATTACTAAGTATAACTTCCTATGACGAATCGCCCTGAGGTTACGGAGATTTGAGCTTTTATACTTTTTCGTGGGAGAGCTGACACGTCATCGATGCTTGTTGACGATGACGGTGCATTTTTCACACCTAACTGTAAACTTCCTCAGCGAGTTG